AAAAAATCTTAAATGGTTCAACTGATTCGATGTATGACACATGAAAAAAATGGTTAAAAAAAATTTCTCGTCCAGCTATTTATCCTTTCTCAATAAGATGTCTCAATTTATTAGATTTTTGATTCTTTTGAAGAATATAGTTTGACACTCCTATACTTTGCCTCTATCCAGATTTTTTTACTGCATTTGGCCCTCCAGCCTGTTTAGGGAGCATGTCCTAGTAGCTAATGTTTTGTGTAGCGTGATTGCAATGCAACCTGGAGAGATATTATTAAGATTCTTAATGTCTCAACACTTTTTTATGCAGGTGGAGAATCTGACAAAGAAGGCTCAACACCAGGAGATAGAGCTCGAAAAGACAACTAAACAGCTGAAGGAGGCAATAGCAATTGCAGGGGAAGAGACTGCTAAATGCAAAGCGGCAAAAGAAGTGATTAAGTCACTTACTGCACAAGTAAGCTATCTGCTGAAGTTGTTGGGTTTCAATTATAGTGCCTGGTTTATTGTAGTTTATCTTGTGCAGTATTATGTTTAACTGTAGTGGCATATATGAGAGGATAGTTGCATCAACAGAGCTTGTCCAATCGAGTAATCGAATGTCAAGTTCATCAATTAATGTTATGAGGTCGTAACCGATAACTAATAAGAAATGAAACAACTGCCCTTGTTTACCAATGTGGTCATATTAGTTTTTCGTGCTGAGTATTAGCACATTCAAGTTAATGACTTGTGTGTCTCATTGTTAAAATTTGATTTTGTCATATATGTTACTCTTTGCCTGTGTGAGTCTAAAAAAATATCCTCAAGCTATGTGCAATGTTTGAAGTTTTATTTTGTGGAAGCTGGTGGTAAGTAACTCTGTTAGACATGTCCAGAGGCCGGGCTGGTTCACGACCCGGACCGGCCAGACGCGCCGAGTCGGGGGGCCTCATATGCTGGGCCCGGACCGGCCCGGCTATATCTAAGGGCCGGTTTAAATGAACCTGCTTGACCTGGCGGTTCATTGAACCGCCGGTTTTAATACAAATAAAAAATAAATAAAAGCAACTACGACCAGTCTTTCGACCCAGAACCGGCGGGTCAAAAAAGGAAAAATAAGACCTGGAACCGCCCTGATTTTATCACGGGTCCGGTTCCAGGACCCGTTTTCCGGGCCGGTTGCTCTGTTCTACTTTACCTTTCTTCTCCAACAGGTACTAAAATAATAGTACAAGAGACTGTCCGTTGTTCTATTCTTCATTTCGTATAGCTTGCATTTAAAATGAAATAGCTTTCCTTTAATTTTGTTTATTTATTTTTCATTTGCAGCTGAAGGAAATGGCTGAAAGGCTCCCTGTTGGTTCTGCCAGAACCATCAAATCCCCATCCTTGGTGTCCAATGATGTCTCAAATGCCTCTGTAGATATTTTGAATGGTCAAATAAATGGCCAGGAACTGCAACCGTATGAACCAACCAACCAGTTCCTCTCTAATGGGTCCAGCACAACAAGTAACCGCAATTTGGTCCAAAACAGGCTGAGCCAAATGGAAGCTCTAATGAGAAATGGAAATAAGATGAAAGAGAGTGATTCTGGCGCTGAAAATGAATGGGTTGAACAAGACGAGCCTGGTGTTTATATTACCCTTACGTCCCTGCATGGAGGGCTCAAGGATTTGAAGAGAGTTCGTTTCAGGTATGTCGATCTGGAACTTCAACCTCAACTTTTACGACAACAAATTAGACTACTTACCTTAAGTTTGCTATAGACGCTCTTTGTGAACAGAGCTATGTGTGCTGCATATAGATGTCTTCCTGAAGGTTCCCATTAAGGAAAGTCGTCTTAACATC